TATGATGGTATATATATACTGTCTATATATTCTCTCCCACTCGATCCGGCGTTAAGCAATCTCTCTCGCTACACTGAGCTCGGATAACTATAGTGTATACTCCGTAGTGTATACAGTGTTGTTTACTACAGTATAACTTGTGTTTTACTTGAAAACAAATTATTTTTTCGTAATATTTTATTTTATCATTATGACATATTTAGTTCCTATCACAATCTGTTCTTTTCTGCATATTACTTTTACCAAATAATGTCGATATTTCACATCTGCCAGGCGTCCCGTGACGGCTCACTTTTTTTTGACACAAGCTTAAATCAGTAACCCACTTTGACTGTAAATGCGTTGATATACGGCAGAAATACTGAAGCCCCATTGCATTATTGCTGATTTTGGTTTTTTTTCCTACCTATTCTAGTAACCTCTAGGGGTTATATTATATTCGCAGAACGAGTAGGTGAGCTCACGGGTCTCTAACCTGACGACGTTGCTAACATTAGCCCTAGCAAGAGCAATGCTTCGCAGAATCTACCACCGGAGATGATTTTGGTTTGAGGTGACTATTATAGGAAATTTCAAACAATTTTATATCTCAAGTCCACACACTTCGTGGAATTTCACTTCAACAGAATGCAAAACGGTATTTGGTACAAGAAAACTCCATTTTGAGTTGAGTGATTCCCGACGTGACCACAATAGAGGGAAGCCTCTTTAACTTTAAATTTATTGATAACAAGTTATCGCAAATTGTTAATTCTGTTAAGATTCTTTCAAGTCAAGTCAAGTCAAGTCTTTTCAAGTTTAACAGGAATTATTTTAGAATTACTCTAGAGCAATTAACTGCACTTAATTTAAATTCATTATTTCGTCTTGTTTTTGATTTCTCGTTTAAAAGGGGGAAATCAATACGCTTGTTTTGTTTTTTTTTAAATTATTTAAATTTTCAAATACCATTTCTGGATTCCACAGATGTTTTCTGTTAAATAAAGTATCGACATTGCGATATATCAGGTGATATGCATTCTTAAGCCAAGCAGGACTCAAGCTGCTAGAAAATAAAAAAATACGTAAATAGTTTATTTTATAGACAACATTTTTTTTTTTCCACAGGAGAAATTCGCCGGATCCCCACCCGCGCGACAGGTGGGGTATGTGGGAGTTGAACCTCACTAAAAACTCCTGCCGCTCACAACCGGCGCCCTACCTCGGACCGGGCCGAAGCCCAGTCGGGGCTATTGAGACGGCGGGACAGGGTTGACGCAGAGCACATTACATCCATCCCGCCGTCCCACGGACGCCGGACCGGCGGCCGCCAGCGACACGACCACCGGTTCCCTCGTTCAGCGGGCCGAGAGCCCGCCTTGATGGCGCCGCGTTACACCTTCCCCCAGAGCGGTCGGGGGAACGCGGTCTACCATCACCCGGCTTCCTACTGCGGGTGAGTGTTCTTGGCACGCCACCCCACGTCTGGGTCTCTCCCCGCACAAAACGGGTGGGACCCCTAGCTCTTAGGGGGCCAGGTCACGGATACGACCCCGGTCCCGACCCCCTGCTCGGCGGCGGCGGGTTTTTGCGTAGTGAGGAGAGCTTTGCCTCACTCGCCCCGCCGCCTCCTTCTGTGAGATGGTGCACTCGCAGAAGTCGAGCATAGCCTTCCAGGACTCATCACCGCCAAGCATCGATGCCACGGCGCCAGGCAGCGACAAAGCCAACAGTGCATAAATTTTATGTTAATATTTTTAAAAAGAAGACCTATAAAAGTTACCTTTGTAATAAAAACTCCAAAGTGAAATAAAAACACGACAGCAAAATTATTTAATTTTCATTTCAAAAAAAAACACAACAGACAATGTTAAAGTTTAAAAACTTCCAAGTTTTACAAACTAAAGAACATGTTTTCTTTTTTACATCAATTCCTAAGCAATGTCCTGAAAATTTTACGACATAGGAGTGTTACTTTTCACACGCATTTCGAATAAAAACTCCCCGACAATTCATAAGAACATTCATTTTCTTGACGAACACTAAAAAGATGGCCAGTATCTGGAGGAAATGTTTTTCTAAAGAGAAAAATAAGGAAACATCTGAACAGCATGTAAGTTTTACATAAATACATATTTTTATATATTTATCTATTTATTTACTGTAAAATACTTCGAATGAACGTATACTTTTGAGCTGAGGGATTATAAATAATGCTATTACTTTGATACTGCACCGTTCAATCGATATGAGTTCGAATTCTGGAATTTCGAAGTCGTCGTGGCCTAAAGGATAAGACGTCAGATGCGTTTGTGTTGAGAAAGGCACCGATGTTTGAATCCCAGGCGGAGACCAATTTTTCTAATGAAATACGTACTAACCAAATGTTCTCGATTCACTTCCATGGTGAAAAATCAAACCCACAAATTTTAACTTGCGTAATTACTGGTGGCAGGACTTCTTGTGAGTCCGCGGGGGTAGGTACCATCACCCCGCCTCTTTCTGCCGTGAAGCAGTAATGCGTTTCGGTTTGAAGGGTGGGGTAGCCGTTTTAACTATATTTGAGACCTTAGAACTTATATCTCAAGGTGGGTGGCGCATTTACGTTGTAGATGTCTATAGGCTCGCGTAACCATTTAACACCAGAGGAACTGTGAGCTCATCCACCCAACTAAGCAATAAATACAAGGAAAATAATAATAAAAAAATATAGATAGGTATATTTTAAAAGATATTTGAGCAATATACATACTATATGAATAGCTATGCTTCATGCCATTATTCGATTATATGACGCGTTTCAGATTCAAAACCAGCGGGAGAATATGATTGTTTTTATTTTTTTCTGAAAGGAATACTTTCAGGACAGAATTTCATAATACAATCGATAAGTCGATTTCGTGTCCCAATGGTTCATAAATGTACTCATGATGAGTTCGCCTTCCAATTATCTATCTCATCTATTACTTTTATCGTTCTACGCGACAGACATTTCTTTTTATTACAACAAAACATATGTACATATTATATTAATGCGTGAAGCAGAAACTTTATACCCCTTTTTACGAAAATTGCGCGGACGGAGGAGAATGAAATTTCTCACACTTATAGAGAATATAGAGAAGGAGTGCAGAATGTTAATTTTTTTTTTTAATTATGCATAAAAATACATAAAATCAATAAAGAAAACATTACACACACTACCATGTATTTGACACAACACATACACACACATATAATCTCTATTTATTGTCAAACTTTTGTTAATGTTGAAAGCATAGACCTATATAGTAACTTCAGTGGTTGAAAGTCTGTGACCAAATTGAGAATAGATTAATATTATTTGTCGGTAGTGTAGTCTTGGCGAAATCTGTGATTATAGAAGTACAATCGTATTTGCCAATAGCACCTTAACGATGACCAAACTTATAATTTCAATTAATTATAGTCGAATTTCGACTGCAGAGGGACCACTAGTATATATAAATGTTTAAATGAATTTATTGGGATCAGGTGTACAAAGTGGAAGATTACAATGCAACATTCACAATTCCGATGGCCGTGCTCAAATTGGTTGGACTGCGAGTTACGAAAAACGACTCGAAGTACACGAGGTGCGTTCGCGGTCTTCAATAAAAAATTGCTCGCGTCTTTCTTGGTTTCATTTTTCACATACACATATCTAGAATATTAACTTCGTCTGAGGTACGTATCTTATACCTTTAAACGAGCAAATCTTGTATATTAATATATATTATGTAGGTATATAATCTGAATCTCGAAAACGGCTCCAACGATTTTCATAAAATTTAGTATACAGGGGACTTCGGGGGCGATAAATCGATCTAGCTACGATTTATTTTCAAAAAATGTTGTTTTATTTGAGTTTTCAATAATCAACTCTTCCCGGCATCTATTGGCGAATAATAATACTATTTTTCTTAATTGAAGGCAACTAACCGCTTTAAGGACACAACAAGATGGCGTTATAAAAAAATCATCTAGTATTTATTATGACAGGTTTTTTGTTGCCTTCTTCACGGTAGAGCGTTATGTGCCAAAAACTCGAAGTAGCTGGGTTTCAGCTGGTTCGCGGTCTTCAACAAAAAAATCGCTCGCGTTTTTCTTATTTTCATTTTTCACATACACATATCTATAGGCCTATGTCCAGCAGTGGGCAGATAAAGGCTGATGATGATGATGATGATTATGATATCTAGAATGTTAACTTCGTCTGAGGTACGTATATTTATTATGACAAGATTTTTTGTTGTCTACTTCACGGTAGAACGTTATGTGCCAAAAATTCGAAGTTGCTGGGTTTCTCGAACCTGCGCTCATAAGACTCACTTCAACATTCTATTCATTAATATAGTTTTATCTGAGGCTATGAACTTAATAATGAACACTGTATTTTTATTGTTTGCAACAATAAATTAACATCGGAACATTGTTTTTCACAACTGCAGATTTAGCTATTACGTATAAACGATAGTATACTAGTGGCTCTACTATACTATGCTATACTTCGTCTCTTAGAAGCAAAATACCTTTTTTTTTGTTGCTTAGATATGTGGACGAGCTCACAGCCCACCTGGTGTTAAGTGGTTACTAGAGCCCATAGACATCTACAACGTAAATGCGCCACCCACCTTAAGATATAAGTTCTAAGGTCTCAGTATAGTTACAACGGCTGCCCCACCCTTCAAACCGAAACGAATTACTGCTTCACGGCAGAACTAGGCAGGGTGGTGGTACCTACCCGCGCGGACTCACAAGAGGTCCTACCGCCAGTGTTATCTGAGGCTATCAACTTATTAATGAGTGATGATATTGTATGTTATGTATTTTTTTATTGTTTGCAACAATAAATGAACATCGGAACATAGTTTTCATAACTGCAGATTTATTTATTACGTATAAACTAATAAATATAAATAACTAATTAAATATCTCCTAAAACCGATACGATTTTCTTTTCGATATTCATTTCGCGTTTTCCGTATTGAAACAGATTGTTCTGGAACATATTCTATTGGTTCGAATTCGGAAATCTCTTTATTGTGACCTGGCTGGAGCTGATCAACATGGTACAAACGGCTAGTGGGGGCTCCTTTCAGGACGCCGTCGAAATATTTAGGATGATGCCGTGCGTGGGATATCTGCTGCTCGGTAAGAACACATAGTTTGTAAAGAGAATGAACCCAAAGCCGCAATGGAAATAAAACGTTAAAAGCATATGCTGATTTTTTTAATTACTAGTTTTATATTTTACTATTAAATATTTCGTGAACCTGATGTCGTCGTGTCCTATTAGATATTGCTCGGCATACACCTAGCCGCGTTAAAAAGAGAGGTGTCTTATATAATTTTTCAATGTTACATTTTTTTCAGTCTAGCTTGAAACCGCCTTTCAAGAATCGTGTAACTAATTCAACCCCGCAAAATAATTTTCGCAATCACTGATGACAATGATTATTAAAATCCCGCATGGCTAGAGGTTACCATCCTGCCTATTTTTGTCACTAAGGAGAAATGCCTTCAAGTTAGAGGAGTAGGGCATTACACGAAATATCTAAAGATTTAGATCCCATGGCTTACGGTGGGTAGCGACATTTACATTGTGATGCCCATAGGCTCCAATAGTCGTTTCCCATCAGGTGGGCGATGAGCTTGTCCATCTCTCTATTGCCATGAAAAAAAATCATACTGTGCAAGACTTCGCGGATACATAAGACAAATAACCACAAAATCGATCTAGCGCCATCATAATTCAAAGTTTTATTTGATACAACTTAATCACGAACGCATACAGTGCGCACACATACATAGTAAAACGACACACAGCTTCAAGTATCCAAATCGTAATCCCTTCGCAAAAGCGCTGCACTACGACGATAGGAGGAAACATTAGAGGTGACCCGAATTCCGCATTATTATGTATAATGTGGCACTCTGTGACCTGTTGTGACCTCATACGATTTCATTTTTATGCACGTGCTCTCGATTTTGTAACATTTAAAAAGTTATCTAAAAATACACTGCAAAAATAATAATAAATAAATAAAAAGCCCTTTATTCCATGCAATTACATTTTTTTTTTTTAGGATAATTATTTTATATGCGTGCACACTTCTCAGCTAAAGGCCTCCTCCAAAGATTTTCATTTTGTTTTGTCTCTGGCGACATAAATCCAGTGTGGTCCAGCAACTTTTCTAATGTCGTCCTCCCAACGCATGTACGGTCTGCCGACGCGCCGCTTGCCCCGTGGACCGTCCCATGCAGTTACATTAGATGTCCATCTCCCAGCCCCGAGTCGTGCTACGTGGCCAGCCCACTTAAACTTCAATCTTCGAGGATATTTGAGAGCGTCCACTGTTTTGGTTATGCTTCATATCTTTGTATGACGGACGGAAAAATAATAATGAAACTGTAAATAGATCTTAATTTTGACACGATAACCCAAATAAAGAGTGTACCTAATATTTGAGTTAACAAAATATGTATGTGACGGCGTTAACAATATTTCTAATAAACATCACGTGCAACAGGCGTGACTCACACAAGCCGGGTGCGCCGGCCGTGTCGTTCCACTCGTGCAACAGAAGTGACTCATAAGCCAGCTGCGCCGGCTAGTATAAAAAGGCGGTGCGTGCCTTGCGAAAAACATTCGTTGGACTGCGCTTGCCTGGTGCACTTACTATATCCTTGTTACGTTGTGTGATTCAGTGACTGTTGTACGTACTGGTTAAAGTTGGACAAGTGTTAAAGTGAATTGTTAAGATAACATATTGTTGATTAAATCAGGAACCAAAAAGTGACATCGTTTTACTTGGTGTTCAACAAGATAATGTCTACCCTCAAGCTTACATATGTATTTCTTCGTTTTCAAATCATAAATGTTTGAAACGGTTTTCATGTTTTGCGTACGATTATAATCCTTACATTTCAATTGAAACTGGGTCTACTTTACATTCCTTTTTTTTTGCCAGCCAAAAAGGCTTTTCATCATTACGTTTGTTATTAAAACTTGTATTATCTAATCAATATTCTTTACGAAACCGACTTGAGTATAATTTTTCAGCTATGGCCAAATCCTACAAGATAGTGTATTATCGTCCGATCTATGAGAATTTGATTTATGAGCTACGGGATATGTGGCCGAAGGGCTGCGTTGCCGACGAAGAACATGCAATCATCTGTACAGCCCTCAAACAACTCAATTATGTCGTGCAGGGTAACAATTACGATTTTTTTACATAATGTTTATTTTAAAATCACAATTTTTTTTCAAAATAATCAATCGTATTTTATGCATTCATCTAAATATAAAGTTGATTTATTTGAATACAATGAAGTCATAAAAAAATGGTGCGCGTGCAACTTGGTGCACGTAAAAGAAGTGAAACTTCTTTTGCGGTGTATAGTATTAACGTATTTAATTAATGATTAGTCAATTTAGTGTGGTGGCATCCAAATATCCCACGACTCCAAACGCAGTAGTCAGGGACGCTAACTATTGCATTAGCGAGTTAGTCGTGGACCGTGGCATCAATGAATAATATTATATCGAGGAGTTAAACTTAACGATTAAAATTAGCATTTAAAGATTATAATTTGGAAATCATAACAAAAAACTTCTTGAACTATTAAAATGGGGTAAACTTAATTGAAGTCAAATTAAAAACATCGAATTGTTCAGACTGATATCAAATAAAGCGGACATTTAATTACAAAGATAATTGTCGCGTATTAAGCGTAATGTCGCTAAAACCAGTTAACCTTTCATCTCTCGATATAGTATTTATTTTATAATATTGTAATGACCCCTCTATATAGTATTTATAATATGGAGCTTATTTAGGTTACTACTGGTGCAACAACGCCCTACTAGTAATATTCCTGTCGCCGCCATTCGTGGAGATCATCAAACAGGTCGCTGGTTGGGACGTTCCTCTGATCCTGCCCTTCTTCTACTGGTTTCCCTTCGACCCGTTCCAGCGAATCTACTACGAAACGATTCTTATCTTTCAAACTTGGCACGGTATTAACATTTTCACAGCATCATTTTTAAACTAACTAGACACTAATCTGAAATTACTTTAATACTGTTACGCGCTGGAGTTTGGGATAAATAAATGTTCCACCAAAGTATAACTTAAAATTGTATTAGCAATTAAAACACTTCATAAACTGATGATGATGATGAGACTGACTACGTGCCATCTCTGCAACGCTTTTGTAGTCGATACGACATCCCTAGATTTATCGAGTACATTCTGGGCAAGTCGAGTAGCTTCGATGGGTGTTTCCCCTATTTGACAATAGATGACGTTCTACTTCTCGAGCTTTTTGCTTTGATATTCGTCTCGGCTATTCGGCGATAGATGGAGTTACTCTTACCGACGTAACAATAATATACTAAACATACGCTATTCATGCCATTAAAAAAATATGTCATTCGGTACGTGTACAAAGAACGTTTAGTGCTTAGAAGAGCCTGTATACATCACGACGTTATATCTGACAGCAACGAGGTGCAAGTCTCAACCGTATAACTACTGACCCACCAACAAGCTCAAACACAGGAATACTTCGCTGCAGAAATATACAAGATGATCGTAGCTTTACTGTACGACTACATGTACATCTACTGATGTAGTAGTTTTACTGGTAGTAAGACCTCTTGTGAGTCCGCACGGGCAGGTACCACCACCCCGCCTATTTCTGCTGTGAAGCAGTAATGCGTTTCGGTTTGAAGGGTGGGGCAGCCGCTGTAACTATACTGAGACCTTAGAACTTACATCTCAAGGTGGGTGACGCATTTACGTTGTAGATGTGTATGGGCTTCAGTAGCCACTTAACATCAGGTGGACTGTGAGCTCATCCACCTATCTAAGCAATAAAAAATAAATAAAAAATCTACCATGGTTAATTATGTTTTGGTTTGAAATTCCCTATATTTTTTCTCTGTCATAAAGAATATGTACTCAAAGATAAATTACCGTTGACATTTCCAGGGCTAATTACAATCTGGTTTATGCTGTGCGGAGATTTACTGTTCTGTATATTCTTGAGCCATATTTCGACGCAGTTCGACTTACTGGCAGTGAGGATCAAGAGAATGGTATATGTGCCTGTTGATAAACAGCTAATTGAAGAATACCCTTTGGGTGAGTATCAACGGAGCTAATTAATTGACTAAAGTCAAGCGATCCCTCACGGTGCATTGTAATTGGAACACAGGCGGTCGGAGCTTCTATTATTCTAATTAAAAAACTAAAGTTTCACCATTTTTTCCTGCATTAACCCGCAATCTATAACTATTATACTGAGATCTAAGAACTTATATCTCAAGGTGGGTGACGCATTTACGTTGTAGATGTCTATGGGCTCCAGTAACCACTTAACACCAGGTGGGCTGTGAGCTCGTCCACGCATCAAAGCAATAAATAAATAAAAATTAAAACCTAAATATAGTGTTTGACTTTATGGTCATGAAGTAACGCGCGGGACGTCTTCTAACTTAGCATTAGTTTCTCGGAATCCCCAATGTATTACTATACTACAAGATTAAGTATAAAATTGAGGCATGGAGTCTCAATTATAATATAGAATAACCGCTGTCTCGTCAGCCGTGTGAGGTGGTACCTAACCACGCGGCTTACAAGATGCCCCACCCACCAGTTACTTTATCGTACATGTCATTCGTGGACATGAGCCAAGTGCGTGTTTCATTATGAAAATTAGTAACCGCCTGTAGGATTTGAATAATGGTATGGTCGCATCGCTCGGTATTAGTAGGTGCTAGGACTAGTAGTACCAGGACTACGTAATCACTTAGACCAGTGGTCGGCAAACTTATTAGCCAAAGAGCCAAATATGCAAATTAAAACGCCTTAAAAAATTGAGAGCCAAATCTGTTTGTAAATTTAGTAAACATTTATTATTGCAAATCCAACAAAAGAAGTCGCAAGATATAAAAAAAAGTATTTATCTATTTAAAAGATATTCTCAGTGGGTCGCGTTTCCGATCCGGTCGTAGATTCTGCGAAGCACTGCTCTTGCTAGGGCCATTGTCAGCAACACCTCCGGTTTGAGCCCCGTGAGCTCACCTACACGTCAAGGAGAAGCTGAAATAGTCCCTCAAGACTATCAGCATAGGTAGGGAAAAAAAATCGACAGCCCGACAATCCCGAGACTGATGTATAAATAGATGCCATGGGGACATTTGTGATTCCTACACCTTTTAAAACCTCACCTTCGCTCGGCTTACCTTTTCAGTATTAAGCCTATAAGCGATAAATAATGGAACTGTAGCGAGTTACCAATTACTCGCAGACGACTAACCGTAGCTAGCTCCACATCGTATGACATCTACGTGATAGCTTCTGACGTTTTTGTACCGGCCAATATTATTGTCAATTCGTTTTTGTATATAAGTGCGTGTTGTGATTACTTTCACCCAGTGTGCTTTTTAATATTGACCTGACCAATACAAGTAATAAAAACCTCGCCATGGTTTGTCTTCCGCACTGCTTCACCTCAGATCTGTTTTGAATATTATTTACCAAACGGAAAACTGCAACCTAACTTACATCATAATATTTCGCTATGGGTAAAACTTTTTTTGTTTAAGGGGAATATAGCCGAAATTTCTTGGTAAAAGAAAAGAGTGCTATTGACTCGTACACTGAAAAACAATGGGAAGAAAGATTTCAGAACGAAGTTACTGAAATTGTTCTGCGACACCGGGCTTTAATTAGGTATATTATATTTAGACTAATTAAATTAAACGATTATCGTATTAACACAGAAGTTTAAAATCATAATCAGATCTTTCCAAAGCAGCCGCAAGCCGATAGTATCAGAATATTTTTGTTTTTTTATCGCATAGATAGGTGGACGAGCTCTCTGCCCGCCTGCTGTGGTCACCGGAGCCCAAACATCATACACGCAAATGCACCTGCCTTGAGATATGAGTTCTAAGGTCTCAGTATAGTTACAACGGCTGCCCCACCCTTCAAACCGAAACACATTACTGCTTCACGGCAGAAATAGGCGGGGCGGTGGTACATACCCATGCGACCTCAAAAGAGGTCCGTCCTGGCACCAGAAAATTTATATCAATTTATTTACTTATTTATATAAAACAAGTACACGTAATTAAGCAGTTACGTAAGGTTGTAAGCCTGGCACGAGATAGACCGACGACCTCTTGAAGATCGCGGGAATTCTCTGGATGCGACAGACCGATCGCTGTGGCGTGGAAGGGAAGGTCTATGGACAGCGGTGGTCGTCTGTGGGCTGTCAGATAGATATATAGGAATGAAGCATAGTGTGTGAGCGGTCGGTTCATTCTTTGTCGGTCATTTCATGTATGTCTTTCAAGAAAGCATTGAAAAGAATGACCACTGCCAGTCACATTCGTCCTCGTTCCATTTCTTTTCTTTTGTCTCTTTTTGAATTACCTGTCAAGTCTCGGTCTTAGTCTATGTCTAGTCGATGTAGGTCGTATGTCCTGTGTTTTTTTTTGTTGTTTAGATGGGTGGACGAGCTCACAGCCCACCTGGTGTTAAGTGATTACTGGAGCCCATAGACATACACAACGTAAATGCGCCACCCACCTTGAGATATAAGTTCTAAGGTCTCAAGTATAGTTACAACGGCTGCCCCACCCTTCAAACCGAAACGCATTACTGCTTCACGGCAGAAATAGGCAGGGCGGTGGTACCTACCCGCGCGGAATCACAACAGGTCCTACCACCAGTAGGTAGTATGTCTAGTCTTTGTAGGTCGTATGCCCCGTCAAAGAGGTTGCACACCACGACGGTGTGTATATGCGACATCTAATGGTAACCTGTGCCAATATTATTTTTCAGATTATCCGGAGACGTCGAGGAGCTATTCAGTTTTGCTTTGCTAGTCAATTTCTTTAATAGCTCTATAATAATTTGTTTCTGTGGATTCTGCTGCGTTGTAAGTGGTAATCTTAGTAATAATAGGTCTAGACTGCAACCTTAACAATCTGATACTACTAACTGTGGATATATTTCATACGAATCTGAAACTTGGTTAAACTGGAAAGTGTGGAACATCAAGAAAAAAATTCAAGTTAATTAGGAATAAATTGAAAATAGAATTTGGCCACTTTTGATAATTCAGTCTTTTGGGGCTTAGTTGTTACCGGAGTTGTAACTTTGGTCGACCATAAACAGTCTTAATTTCAATGCAATAAAGGTCATCTTTCAAGCTTATCCTCAGTATTATGTACTTTAATTGTCTTGTCCTATATTTCTATAAAATCACAATATAAATTTAAAAACAGCAACGACATATTGACACCGAACGTCACTAGAACTAGGATCGAATTTAAATAAATACATAATTTAGATCTTATCACCAGTACCTGACAGTTTAATTTTGTCTAAAGACTCTGTTTTAAGTAAAATCTATAATTACACTAGCGGACCCGACAGACGTAGTCCTGCATACACAAAATGAATGAAATGAATGAATGAATTCATACACAAAAAATAATTCAAGTCGATTCAGCCGTTTAGTTGTAGTATAGATAAATAACCTAGATACCGGCTGCAGCGCTATCTGCCGGGCTGATTTGTGAATCTAAGCCGTCCAGGGCATCATCCAAACATATAAAAACTCATTAAAATCGGTCCAGCCGTTTAGGAGGAGTTCAGTGACATACACACGCACAGAAGAATTTTATTAATAAAGATAATAATTGTGGAATTGCAATAAACTAAAATACTAACGATGGTGACGTTTATATGTAGATCGTTGAAAAATGGAACGAAATGATTTACAAATCGTTCTTGACGACCGCTCTGTCACAAACATGGCTGCTCTGCTGGTACGGGCAAAGACTTCTTGAATCAGTAAGTACTTAATTTTGTTGCTAATGAATCTTATATGGTTATACGTATATCACAATATATAAATAGTATTTGATTTAAACCTAATAAAATAAAGACGAGAACCCGCCGTGGCCTAAAAGATAAGACGCCTGGTGTACTCGTATCGAGCGATGCAACAGTATCGGTGTTCGAATCTCGCAGGCAGATACTAATTTTTCTAATGAATTCTTCTAATGAAATACGTACTTAACTCATGTTCACGAATTACTTCCACGACGAAGGAATAATATCGTGTAATAAAAATCAAATACGCAAATTTCGAATTTACGTAATTACGTAATTGAGACATAAACCTCAAGCCTCCAGGTGAGTGACGGTATTTATGTTTTGATGTCCATATACTTCGGCAACCAACATGTTCCTGAGCTACTCTACCCGCCTAGTGCAATAAAGGAAAACTTGTATTTTTTCTTCCTTTTTTTCCTACCTATGCTGATAGCCTTAAGAGGCTATTTCAGCTTCGCCCTAACATATAAGTGAGCTCACGGGGCTCAAACCGGAGTGTTGCTAACACTGGCCCTAGCAAGAGTAGTGTAGAATCTACCACCGTATCGGAAACGCTACCCACTGAGAAGATCTGGCGAGAAACTCAGTGGGCTGTGTCTGTGGGTTAATTCGCTCGTCGAGCCCTTCGTCGCAAGCGACGGGTTCGACGAGGACCGTGACCGGGTTTTTTCCTCATTTCGAAACAGAGTGAAGGAGTCTCCGATGCGTTATACAACAGTGGCTGGTACAATGTTTCGAAGAAAATAAAAGGTTCCATTCTAATCATGCTTCACAGGTAAATAATGTGATTAACACTTCATTTTATTACATTACACTCTTACATTATTTTGTTTGTTGCTTAGATGAGTGGACGAGCTCACAGCCCACCTCGTGTTAAGCAGTTACTGGACCCCATATACATCTACAATGTAAATGCGCCACCCATCTTGAGATATAAGTTCTAAGGTCTCAAGTATAGTTACAACGGCTGCCCTACCCTTCAAACCGAAACGCATTACTGCTTCACGGCAGAAATAGGCAGGGTGGTGGTACCTACCCGTGCGGACTCACCTAAGGTTCTACCATCAGTAATTACGCAACTTATAATTTTGCAGGTTTGATTTTTATTACACGATGCTATTCCTTCACCGTGGAAGTCAATCGTGACCGCTATAATCGTTGTATCGCCCTCGAAGGCAACTACTTAATATAATTTTGAAAATAAAATCATATTCTAACAAAAAAAAACATTTTTCTATGCTAGCCTACGAACTTTTCAGTCTGTTTATTATTCCTATGGATTCCTTATTCGCTTCTTTTTTTGAGGTTACACCGTAATTATTTTTCGAAACAAATTCTTAATTAAAACAACTTTTTCGGTTTCATCTCGCGTTTATTATTGTTTTTTTTATTATTACATACGTTTGAAATACTTTGCGTGATCTGGGACGACTAGACATAATGAGAATAAGCCGTAAAAATCGTTTTAATTAAACTTTCCATTATTCGAATTTTATATAAAAAAAATTTAAGAAATAAAAATTTTTTTTAAGAAATAAATTAATTTACCTATTTACAATGTTATGGTTACGACTCATTAAAATCAATGAAGTAAAAAATAAACACCTTTTTTCATAGAGCACAAAAAGAAGTCCACGTCACTACGTATGGGTTCTCTGTGATCTCTTTGTCGAGCTATACTACGGTAATTATCGTTTTCTTTGACGACGTATCATCAGACACAGACTCTTTTCTTCATTTAATTATTTTAAAATATATGGTAAAATATTGGTTTTCCAAATACAAAGGAGATAGCTAAGATGATGATACCGGCATCTCGTTTTTACCATCGCACCGCCCGCCACCGGAGTAGAGTTCATCCATACTACCTGGAGCCACTGCGGTCATCCACAGTGCGTTTCCAGAGGTCTTTTTTGCCACGTACCATCCGGCTATGGAATGAGCTCCCCTCCACGGTGTTTCCCGAGCGCTATGACATATCCTTCTTCAAACAAGGCTTGTGGAGAGTATTAAGCGGTAGGCAGCGGCTTGGCTCTGCCCCTGGCATTGCTGAAGTCCATGGGCGACGGTAACCACTCACCATCAGGTGGGCCGTATGCTAGTCTGCCTACAAGGGCAATAAAAAAAAAAAAAGAAAAAAAAGAAAAGAAAAGCTAAAGCGTTCTTTTGCAGTATTGAAAAAAAAACCAGGTTTCTCTTATCGTTTACTTTACAGTATTTTCTCACAAACGTTATGTAACTTGTCTTATCCCCGAGTTTATGGCCCACCGTGTGTTCAATGGTTACCGTAGCCAGCTGTTAACAGAGACAGTACTCTAATATAGATCTACCCTCAAGTAGTAGCTAATTTAGTCTTAAAAACATGAATACTAAAGCTGAGAAAAAAGGTAGCTCGATGGTACGTATTCGTGAATAACAATCGAATTAAGCACGGGTCAGGAGAAAAAAATGCAAACTATATATTTATAGTTGAGCGTAATGAATAACCTATGTAAAAACGTATTTAGCTTACGTAGCTTTTAATAAACGAACCATCAACTTTCTCAATGATGTTATATTGATTTTCTCTTTGTTTCCACTTTCAGATTATCAAAACATCGTGGTCGTATTTTACGCTTTTATTGAATATTTACAAACAGTAAATAATTTCAGCACGAAAGCACAATATTCATAGTTACATTTCAATATATAATTTTCAAAATAAAAATAGATATTTTTTTTATTTCAATATGAGTATTTACTCTGTGTTTTCAAATAATTCAATATCAAATTTGGGTTACCAATAAAAAATACTGAATCCCATAAACATGACGAATTCAATCCCAGGATCACCTTGAGCCAAGAAGTCGACCAATTTCCATGCAATTAAATACATTAAAATTTATACAAGTAAACAACAGTATTGGCCTGTCCGACATAATTTGTAATTTTACAGTTATGTAAGACGTTTCTAAAACATTATTTAAATTGTTTAGGACGTAGGTAAACCTAGTTGAATCACAGTTGAATCTATTGACCTTCCATGATCTTAAAAATGGTGCTATTTTATTTCTGCATTGGGGGCATAACCTCCTACGAGAGGCGCGCGACGTATATGGGACTGGACGGTCCGTAGATATTAAGACAAGACTGCGGGCTCAAGATTGGTATATAAGGCCCTATTAACTTAGAGACTCCCCTGCACACTCGCCGAAGCGTCCGATCCCCCCGTTCGTGAAAGGCTGACGCAGGGCATGGAAGGGTCCCCAGTCCACCCTGCGTACGATCGCCGGGATCCACTCCAGTCTGCGACTCCGACACGACGACCGCACGACAGGATTTCACACTGGTTGGCGGGACAGCTTCCCGGGGCGGAGTTTAGTTGTGACACCTGTTAGTGGGTACATCCCTATTAAGAAGTGTGAGCTGTAGCACAACACTAGTATTTTTTTAATGTCAGTGGTTAGAAGAGTAGGTAGCATAAAAACACTATGGTCTCACGAAAATGTATAACAGTAAAAACAGTAGTGTCTTTAATAAATAATATTAATAAAAGGTTAGTTTCTCTCATCTGAGCATTTCTATATCCTTCAACACCCGGGTTCAGGTCCCCTACTGATCGGTGGACAGCGGCGAATACCGTTTCACTGGGTCTCCCTGTACCCCCGCCAACTTACCCCGTCACTTAGTAAGGTGGTTTAATAATTTGGTTATTCATTAATATATATATAAAATTTGCTCGAACAACAATATTTTCTTTTATTAATTTAACTAAATGTAGTTTTGTTTATTTTAAATGAAAACAACGCCTAAAAACGTAAATAACAGTTTATATTGCGTTTGCGTTTCGATATTTTTGGTCAAAAAATCTATCCAATGATTAATGGATCTCAGATCGCTTTCCTAGGCCGCCCGACCGCTCTCGTTAAATCACAAAGCTTAATACACTTAATGTCACCCAGCGACCTGTATACCTACCTATTTAGTGTTTCTTCAAGTTTAAATGTGTGATAACAGTGGTTTATGATGAATTGTTTAGTTATCTGTGAAAGTGCACAAATTTGGGAAAATAGAACAAAGCCGCTGGACGTAACTTCTCTGGGTCCTCCAAAAAGTCCTCTGGAAAATTTTCAGTAAATGGCTAGGCACCGTTTTACTGATATTATATTTCATTCCATTTCATTTAATTTCACTACTTATTTTTCATAAAAAAGATATATTATATTATAATAAAAGAATAAGCTGTATGGCATAATACTTTTGCCTTTCCAGTTGGATCAATAGAACTACTACTGTCATACAGCTAACAAAACCTTTCATTAAAAATAAGTGAATAAAAGTGCATTAATCTCATTTCATTTTCAACTTGTATAATATTTCTTTAATAACCTCCTCGTTTGTTTATTTTGCTAAAATGCCTAATAAAAAGAACAAGGAAATTGACACAAACAGCGAAAGCGAAAAGGAACAAGATTCAGGCAGCGAAAAAGATTCTGATTTTGATTCAGACGGCAACTATGTCGGTGAAAAAGTAAGCAAAACCATAACCTACAAAACACATGGCTCTTTGTTTCAATTAATCATGTAATTAAATACAATCAACTAGATTATGTAAAATGGATAAATAAACTTAATGAAAATAAATGAGATTAGTACACAAATACTTTCTTGCAGATGCCCAGTAAACTTACAAATAAACTCAAATCATGTAATCACTATATTAAAGCATATGGCGTATTTTACTGCAGCATGTAACAGCAAAGCGGTTTCCAGTGACAAATGCTTTTCCCCACCCTTTTTCCAAACCAAATTGTGAAATTCAAAATTACTGAAAATTAAATTAAGATCGATGCCTCCAATGAACACTACTATAACTCCAAATTCGTAGGTTTACAAGAGGAGAGTTTAAACGAAAAAAGTTGATAAATATATCTGCAATAATAAAGATTTTATGGTTTTTTCTTGTGTAACTAGTTGATTTACTCTTGCTTCGAACCCCATTAATAATGAATATGTAATACTTTTAAAATAGTGAAGCGATTTGCGTGAAAAACGAAAATTTCAAAATTTTGAGTTAGAGTAGTGTTCATTGGAGGCATCGAGATATTCTTTTGCTATTTTCAGGAGCTACAGGCTGATTTCGAAGGACGTAACCCAGAAGATAGTGACTTCCACGGTATTAAGCAGCTACTGAGGCAACTGTTTCTGAAATCAAATGTTGACCTTGGAGGGCTAGCCCAAATTATTATATGTAAGACTTTTGTGACTTAATACAGAGCTTGTCAAATTACCAGAAAACTCTGTACCTATTCAATTCTAACCAAGAAAAAAATTGCTTGTAAAATTTTAATTGTACTGGCTATAAAGTTTGAATTGTTTTTAAAAATAGTGAATAATCAATTGGATCATACAATTTATAATTTTACACTACTTTTTTTTGTCAGCACAAAATTACATAGGCAGTGTTGTGAAGCAATGTTTGGATGATGGTCAAGAGGATGACGATGATGAGGACGATGGTAGTGATGGAGTTTTTGGAGTAACTACAGTAGTGAATATTACTAAAAGAAAAGTAAGATTAATACAATGTTTTTATATTAAACATTTCAACTAACTTTAAAAAGTGATATTTACTCCTTAATAAAAGTTAATTTGAAATCAATTAAACAAATTTTTGTTGAGTTCCCAAACTATCAATATGTTTCAACTAAAATACCAATGAATAAAAAACTAACATGGGAAAAAAAACATTGAGAGGTAAAATGCTATTTGGTTTAAGCGACAATTTGCTTAATATGTGACATTTATATATATTTTTTTCCAAAGTTTAATCTCTAAATGGCTCTCCTGTAAAGTTGAAAAATGTCATTTAAACCAAATAGCCTTTCCTTATGTAGTGTACTTCTATTCTTTTGATATGTAAATATTCTTCTCTATATGTAGTGTTCTATCTAATTAATATAGTTCACTGACTATTTCAGAATGAACCCAGTGTGGCACAGATCAGAGAATTGCTTACAAAACTATCTCAGGAGAATGCAGATCCCAGAACCAAAGAATTAATTAAATATATTCTGGCTGATGATTCTCAGCATACTGGCCTAGTTATTAATGAAAGGTAAAAATTTTGGAGTATTCAGAATTTCATTGTTTTTTTTCTATAGACTAGATGATGACCGAGCTTTGCTCTTTTTTTTTTTTTATAATGCCATCTTGTTGTGTATTTAAAGCGGTTAGTTGCCCTCAATTAAGAAAAATAAGTTTGATTATCTGCCAATAGATGTGGGGAAGAGTCATAAAGTTGATTATTGAAAACACGAATAAAACAACATTTTCTGAAAATAAATCGTAGCTAGATCGATTTATCGCCCCCGAAATCCCCTGTATACTAAATTTTATGAAAATCGTTGTAGCCGTTTCCGAGATTCAGATTATATATATACAAGAATTGCTCGTTTAAAGGTATAAGATAAGGTAAGATATTTAATTCCCAAAACTTTTGATTCACTCAAGTGACTGTAACTATGAATTGTCCCATGTTTTTTAGTTTTGAAAGCCATTACAATTAAGACTATCCTCATGTCCCATCATATAAGTAAGTTGTATATAGTATGATTTATTCTAATGCCTAACTACTTACACTAGGCAACCCACTAGCTTAACTGGCTGTATACAGATATATATGTATAAAAAACTTATGTTTTATTTGTGTGAATATCTTATTGTCTCCAGAACTTCTGGAGAAATGGAGAAAATTATAATTGGGACTTTTAAAGTAGAAATGTTTAGTTTTTTGCTACTTTTAAAAATAATTATTTTCTTTTCCAGAATACTAAACATTCCTGCAGCGATTAGCGTACCATTATTTGCATCACTACAGACTGAACTTGAGAAAGCTCATAGGAAAAATATGCTATACAACTTTAAATACCTTATTTGGATCAGTAAAACTTACACTACTGGAGGTTGGTTAGATTTTTCATTTTAGCACTCAAGACTAGCAACAAATTTTTTTTTATTGCTTAGTTCGGTGGACTAACTCATAGCTAAATCCACACAGCTCAAAACATATTTTTCTCTTTATTATTTATATTAATTTTTTGGTATTGAAACTACACATTTTAACTACAGTAAAAGCTCCTTACTGGCGCTTCCCGTTTTTACTATTCACGGATTAAAACAATGCGACTGATTTACTATGTTCGCAGCTAATGATGTTTTTGTTCATAGAACTAATCGGTATATCAGTACATACACATGGATAAAAAGGATTCCAATATGTAGGCATCCAACTGAATATTCTTTGTAAATGTGCTTTTCCATATTCACGGTTTCTTTAATCGCGCAATATTTACGGAACATATACCCCAACTTTATATGAGATGATAATAATGAGAATTTACTGTATTTCACTTTTTACTTTTATTTACTCATATACTTTACTACTTATCTGAAATAGAGTCATCAGAAGTGCTTTTTGCAAATCAAGAAGAGAAGTCTTTAGTAAGCGAAGCAATTGCTAGTTTTGATGTAGATGTAACCGACCAAGCTGACTTATCACAATGGGATTATGAAGGAGGAGCACTTACTCCTTGTCGAAAGGTAAATTTCAATAATGCTGGATATTTTGTAGATTATTTACAATACGTTCTGGCCTAATAAATAGAACATGCAATAGTTAAGATACTTGACATTCTCGAAGTTATTAATATTTTAATAATAATGTATGATGTCTTAAGATGGATGTCAGTATTCAATATGACTCATCTATTTGCATATAAACAGATTCTACACTTAAATTATGAACTCCCAAAAGGTTAAAGGCAGTTGAATATTATTGAAATGGAAATACAGTTTTAATAAAACTCGATTTTTGTCTAAATTCGAATCTTTTGTTGCAGATTTTACTATTTGAAGGTATCAAGTTTGGTTATCTCATCGATCTGATGAAGGCAGAAGTTGAAAGCATGTAATGTTTCTTTTCAATGGAATATTATATTCACGCCATGTAATATGTTTGATACATATTTATATTTAAAAAATTAAATTTAAGCCAAACGATTAGTTTTAATTTCTTTTATCATTAATATTTTCTTCTTTTTTGTTTTATCTGGTAATATGTTGTTACTGAAACTATAGGAAAAAGTGAATATGCAAAAACAGCCCGATGTGAAGGTCCCAGTTTCGCTCACCTTAGATCCAGTAACACTTGGGTTCTTACTGGTAAAAACGTACAGGATGTTAGTGAAAGAAATGGTTTAATAGGAAATTTAAAGGGCTTGCTTCACTAGTCTCAACAGTTATGAAGCCAGAACACTTAAAAGTTCATAAAGTCCAAAAGTCCACACTTTGTTTGTAGTGTAATTGTTTGATTATAGACATTTAACGTATTTAAGTAAAAAAACATAAATAAAAGTCACTTGTATTATGAATTTGTCGATTATATTTGAATTAAAAAAAAACAAGTCAGTAAACCTTTAACTAAACGTTAAAAACCATTTATCTGAAGATTCTTGTAGAGACACAAGGCGTCTTTCATCATGAAATCTCTCAACGAGCACAATCCTTTCAGAACCTTTTGATTTTGGTCCATCTTCTGTATGTCCGCTTCGGCGAGATTTTTGTCATGTGTCAAATATCCGTTGATGGCTTCGTCCGTGATCCAATGTCCGGGTATCTTCTGCATATTGAACTGAGCCGGGTCGGGGTTCGCCGGCATCGGAGTAAGAGACTTTTCCCATGGTGTTATATATTTCTGCTCTGAATGCAAGCCTTCGATGTACCTGAGTAATGTGCAAATGAAAACGGATACAACGTGTTTCAAGAGTGCGAACAATAACGATGCTTTGTTTTTTTGTTTTACTTTTTTTTGCAATTTTCGTCGCCAAATAATAAAAATTTAATGGAATGGAAATATAGATATGGGTCCGTAGACCGCGCTGACGCCTTCCAGGGTTGTCCTTGACGGGACAGTTGTCAATTACGATTCTCTAGTCGATGTTTCAGGCATCAGTTTTTGTCATCTTTCATCTATTGTGGTGGTTTCCAGATAATTTATTTCGCCACAAACCTTCCCGCTCTGAAGTGAACTTCCCCCCTTCACGGCTATACCATGTCACTTTTCAACGTCTTAGAAAATTCCTGAGCGGAATAGGCCTTTTTTTTTATTTGCTTAGATGGGTGGACGAGCTCGCAGCCCACCTGGTGTTAAGTGGTTACTGGACATCTACAACGTAAATGCGCCACCCACCTTGAGACATAAGTTCTAAGGTACAGTATAGTTACAACGGCTGCCCCACCCTTCAAACCGAAACGCATTACTGCTTCTGCTTCACGGCAGAAATAGGCAAAGCGGTGGTACCTACCCGTCCGGACTCACAAGAGGTCCTACCACCAGTAAACAGCGTAACAGTGCTGGTCTTGCAATATCACTTATACTTTAAAATAACTTATTTGATCGGGTCGTAGTCAATACCTGATGTAGGCTTCGGAGTGCGTGACGCGCTGCGCTCTGGGCGGCGCCGTAACGAAGAGGGGGTCGAGGCCGGCGCGGACGGGCGGCGCCGTGGGGATCGTCGTGGACGTGCCCTCCCCCGCGCCGGGGGACGGGGTGTTCCTCGCCATAGGGGACATCCCTGATAGAGACGCTGGAACATACACCACCCCGTATTAGACACGTGCTAATATCGTCGAGCTGTGGTACAACACACGAGAAATAGCTGGAGCTGCCTTTGCTCTACATTGCGGCTATGTCGTAAAATGGGGGGAATCGGGACACTTTTTAAGTTCGACATTGATTTGTATCGTTTTTTATTGTCCTTGTAGGCATACGAGCATACGGCCCACCTGATGGTGAGTGGTTACCGTCGCCCATGGACTTCAGCAATGCCAGGGGCATAGCCAAGCCGCTGTCTACCAGCCAAGCCGCTGCCTACCAAAACTAAAAAACTATAGAGATCATAATGGTTCCGGTAGTTTAAATTTTCATTTATAGTACATTAAGAAGATATAGTTTCTTAAAGAATAATCATATTTTATAAAGTTACAAACTCATTTGTCCCACTTCACCCAAGCGTTGGGTGAATCGGGTCGCTTAAGGCGTTAAGTGTTTTTCGCTAGGGCTAGCCCTTTTTTAACATCTTTAATGAGTTACAAAACTTTGATGAATAAATTAAACTATTTAATATCCTTAAACATTGAACTTTTTTTATTTAATTTTATTTTTTGCTTAGATGGGTGGACGAACTCACAGCCCACCTGGTGTTAAGTGGTTACTGGAGCCCATAGACATCTACAAAGTAAATGCGCCACCCACCTCGAAATATAAGTTCTAAGGTCTCAAGTATAGTTACAACGGCTGCTCCCACCCTTCAAACCGAAACGCATTACTGCTTCACGGCAGAAATAGGCAGGGCGGTGGTACCTACCCGTGCGGATTTATAAGACATCCTACCACTAGTTAAGTAAATTATCTGCTTCGGCAAACTAAAAAGAGTGGCTGTTGTACTGTATTCTGACAAAATATAATGGTAGATGGTCTTTTGAGCCAGAACAAGTAGCTAAAACCGCCCTGCTTAGTTAGGCCGCGAAGCAATAATGCGTTCCGGTTTGAAGGGTGGGGCAGCCGTTGTACTATAGAACTGAGATCTAGAACTCGTGTCTCAAATTGGGTGGCGGTATTTACGTTGTTGATGTCTATGGGCTCCGGTAATCATTTAACATCAGGTAGACCGTGAGCACCTCTACCCAACTAAGCAATAAAAAAAAATATAATCGACCTACCCCGTAACCATAGACAACCCCCTTATTTTCATAAAACAAAATAAACAAACCGCCACCACCATAACATGCTCAACAAACTCAAAAGCTCTTATAAATAATTTAATAAATGCCATTAAGTCCCTTGGGTAAGTCGATCACCCTCTGCTTTTCTATTCAGCCATAAAAAAAAACTTAAATGATTATGACTATAGTTTTTAATGCAGACATAAAAAAAAAACTTAAAATGATTATGACTAGTCCTCTAAGACTATGTGACAGCATAACATTAAGCTATTTGAAACACAAAAGAAAGCAACAACAAAAAATTATTAAACCAAAAGAAAAGGCGGTACATTTTAGCACGGATTATAAAGTAAATTTTTTTAGGTTATGACAGGAAAAATAGTTAATAAAAGCTTTGAGTTGACCTCATTGAGAAGCGTCGGAACAAAAACCGATAAGACGATGATAATACTCGTTTATTTTTTGGAAATTACAATACAATATTCATATTATATTTATACAATAATTTAGATACGAATGCAGTCCACCAATTTTTTTGTGCTGGCAACACAACTTGGTTAAGTAATTTACATGTTTATGGTTTTTTATTATTTATCTATTTTAGTTCGGATTAGTGTCTCGAAGTTTTCAAAACGAATTCAACAGTTTTTTGTAGATATTCAAAATTAAGTGAATGAAGAAATCAAAATGTGACTTATCGTTTTTAGTTCGGGCGCTCTTTACTTACACTGGTGCTACAAATTTAAGTAATTTTTGGGTACACTATATATTTTCTATCTATATATATGTATATAGTATCTATTTATTCTATTTTCATCGTTCGAGGGTCATACAACTAATTAAAACTAATTTTACGGTTTAATCTCGCCTGTCTTATTGTTATATCATATTATTCAGCCGGTGAGACCATGAAAACTGTAAAGGCTTCGTCAAACAGAACGCTTAATTAGCGTGCGTCAGAGCGCTAAACTGATGGCGCGCTATGACGCCTTGATGTGTTGTACTACTATGGTAATATACTGTCAAACAGCCCTAACGCCGCGACAGAGCGTTGCGTACTTATAACGCTAGCGCGCTAATTACGCGTTCTGTTTGACGAAGCCTTAAAGCATACTAAACGTCGGAAACGATGTAATGATAATAAAAAGGCGAGGTAGGTAAAAGTAGTTTTAATTATAACTATTTATTGTTTTCGATTTAATGGTACATGAAGAGAAATAGAAGTGTTGTTAGTATGCGCTTTATACGTTTAGTTCATCTTCTAATACAGGGCTGTCCGGACAAAGGACCGGGACGCACGTTTTAATCAGAAAATAGTTTGGATAATATTTTTCTTTGTCAAAACATTATAATCGACATTTGGTATCATTTATCTTTATTCTTGTAACATTCCATTCCCATGACATCATTTAAAAGTGAAGCTATATTTTACTATTATTGGGGGAATTCCCGGAAAGCATTTGGTTTTTGAAAAATTTTTTTGTGCGGCTCCAGCTTTTGGAATAAAATTTCATTAGCCCGTAAAGGTATGTAGTTTGGACAGCCCTGGTCTAATAGTTGTTTACTGTGTGCTTAGTGCGAGTTTTTTAACGTTTTCGACGTAAGAACGTTGTTTTTTTATTGCTTATATAGGTGGACGAGTTCACAGCCCACCTGATGTTAAGTGGTTACTGGAGCCCATAGACATCTACGACGTAAATGCGCCACCCACCTTGAGATATCAGTTCTAAGCTCTCAAGTATAGTTACAACGGCTGCTCCGCCCTTCAAACCGAAACGCATTACTGCTTCACGGCAGAAATAGGCGGGGCGGTGGTACCTACGTGGTACGGACTCACAGGCGGCCCTACCACCAGTTTGCATATGTTTGCCGCTAGGGGCGCTGTTCTAACTCCATACAAACTTGAGTAAATTTTTACGCTATCGAGAACGTTAAAAAGCTCGCACAAAGCACACTGTTCGGTTAGTGTGCGTGGAGCGCGGGTCCCGTTTGTTAGTACGTCAGCATGCGAACCTTGGCTATTACTACTGCTATTTGTACCTCCGGGGGACATGACGCCGCTCCGCACCGCCGGCCGCGGCTTCTTCGATGACAGCATGAAATTCCTAAATCAAAAAATAATTAATTTATTAGAAGTTTTTTTTTGTAAGCGGTACATTTTTGCTTTGTGATCGAAGTTCGATCGTAATCACTGACATCTAAGTCATAATTTCGTTTTGTGTAAAATATTTTACTAACTTACTGACAGATTTTATTGAAGGGTTCAGTAAAAAAAATTA